ATTTTTTAAAAATATTAGCGAGATAAGTTGTTTTTTACTAGTTTTATTAATATGATATATTAATGAATAATTTTGGATTTTTAATTCATTTAATATATTTATTAAATAACATATAAAATGTATAAATATTAAAATTAAAAGTACATTGTTTAATAAGGAACTAGTAAATGCTACAATAAAATAATTTTGAAAGTACAATGTTGTAATAAGAAAGTCACATCACTATCGTACATGTGGACAGTCTACGTGGACAATGAGGTGGCATGAAAACCTGGTATAATGGGTAAATTTAAATCAAAAGGTTAACCAATGCTATAATGGGTAAATTTTTCAAAGTATAATGTCCTAATAAAAAATAGTTTGAAAGTACATTGATATAATAAGAAAAACTAAAAGTACAATGCTATAGTAAAGAAATTTATGAAAGTAGATTGTTATTTTGTGCATTTTGCTCTAATTTATTTAATAAAGTATTCTTAAAATTAAAGTGACGTTTTTTTAATTAATAAATGCTATAAGAGTATTCGTACAATGCATCGAAATACATCTCGATTTTAATGTTTCGTTTTATTTTGTCTCTGTTGGTATAATACAGTTTTATGTGATTTTGAAAAAATGATAATGATTTTTTATTTTTGAATAAAATGTAAATGTGAAGATACATAGAAATTTGAAAAAAAAATTATGTCGATATTAGTATCAAATTAACTATTTAAAAGTTCTCGTTTTTTTTTAATTTCTTTAATTCAATTTTGTTATTATAACTTAATTTAGGTTTAATAATGAAGTAATTTATTTTTTTGTTTAATAATATAATTTTTTATAAAGATAATAATTAAGTGTGCTCTTAGAACTCAATGATTATCCTAATTATATTTTAAATAATTAAGCGTTTGGTTGGTATGAATTAGAATGAAATCTCTCAAAAGAATTGGAACAATCGTTTTTGTTTGAACTATTGCAACCATCGCCCCGCCCACATCCTACCAACCACTATGTCACTACTGTCATCGTCACAACTATCACCTTGCCACACCCCTACCCACCACTTCTGCCCCACCCCTGCTCCATAGGTGGGATTGTTAGGGGCAGTAGGGGTGAGGCGAGGCGGTGAAGGTGGTTCGAGTGGGATAGTGGGTGGCAGGGTGGTAGCTGTAACGACTACAATGGTAAGATGGTGGTTTGTGGGGGTTGGAGTAGGGTAAGGTGGGGCGGGGGTGGGGAGATGGTAGGGGTAGGTGGTGAGGTGGTAATTGTGACGATGATAGTGGTAGAATAGTGGTCGGCTGGTTGGGGCTTGTGAGTGGATGGGTATGACGATGACAATAGTGGCATGGTGTTTAGTGATGGGGTATGGATGAGTGATAGTTTTAAAGGAGACAATAGTGGGGGGTGGGTAGGGGGGTGGGTAGGAGTGGGTATGACGTACAATAATAGCATTGTCATGGTGGATGGTGATGAAATTGATTAATTTGTGAAATTCAATGGAATTTGAAGGATTCCATCTGTTTCAAAAAATGAACCAAACAAAATAATTGAAATTTGGTCAAAGAAATTTGTCATTCTAATTCAATCGAATTCCTTCAAATTTCACGAACCATAGTGGATTGGAGAAGAAAAAACTCCACTTATATATTATTTAGTGTCACAATAGTGGGTTGAAGACCATAAATGATGATCGTGACAACATATCCCCTCCCCCCCTCCTCCAAAAAAAAAAACTCGAAGTTTGGGGCGAGCCTCCTTCTGCTCCGATGCAGTATGCCAAGTGCATCTTCTCGTGCCACTTTAACATTAGAACAGTCCATACTATAGTAGTGGTGTTGGGCCAAGGAGAGCCATCCATGCCGATTATTAATTGTAATACTAACCTTTGATTCGAGATCGATGATGTTCGAGATTAACAACATGGGAATGCTTATTGTAAATGAATATGTTAGCAATACGATCCCATGCATCTTTGGCACTGGTGTGATGTCTGGTTGTAAAATGGTTTCAAGAAGATCCCGAGAAACTCTACAACATCCACCCACATCCAAGTTCCTTCTTCACTTTCTCCTTTACGAATATAGTGTGCTTGATTTTAAGAAAATTGATGTTCGGTTTCGAAATCCTTTGACACCCCCAAAATGTCCCCTCAATTATACAATTTTCTGGATTCGCCACTAACAGGCTAAGCTGGTAATTGCGGTGCCATAGAAGTGAAATAGTGGGGATCTAATGATTAGCGGTCGGAAATAGCGCTTCTGCTAATAGCGGTGCTAATCACCTAAAATTGGGCCGTGATTTTGATATGCAATAGTCGTGTCAAAACCGCAATTGGGTTGGGCTTTCAGTAGCTTTTTTTAAAGGGTTTGGAGAAGTTGATTAAATGACTACAAGCTAGGGGGCTTATTTTGATTTGCGATATCGGTGTGTAAAATGGCTATTCCTCTCTCATTTGTTCTATCGTCCATCGTCTTCTACTCTTTGTTTTCTCTTCATAACATCTTCTTCCAACATTGTTTGCTAGTCATCTCTTCATTCACATGTTCTTTTGTTCATCTTCAATAAATATATATATATATATATATATATATAATATGTTATGTATACATATATAGGTGAAAGATTGTATGAGAACAAGAGTTAAAATGAGAAATATAAGAAGTGATTTAGACCTTTGATCACCTTTAATCTCAAACCCATCCACGAATCACGTTTGATATGAGGATTGATCAAGTGCATCCCATCCTAATGTACATGCAAGAGTGGGAATCTTTTCTTATGTTTTTCATCTTAACTCTCATTTTTACCGTAACTCACCTCTACATATACATGCATGCAAACATACATTTATATATAAATGTAATTATTACATGAACCGTTATTTGTAGACCGGTTTACCATCGTAATAATCACGATATCAAATTACGGTCTTGACCTCTATTTTAGATTTTGACCATTCTAAAAGAATAGGTGACATGTGGCTGATACAAATTGTGACGGAAATGGGATTTTGGTTGAAACGCTAACCTCATCGTTTTCTCAAGAACATGTGTGCATGGCGGTTTCATACAGTTCTAGAAGGTCTACATTAAGCATGAAAATACGTACCTTTTAAAATTAAGACATTCTATTGGAAAAACTTATGTATACAATATATATATATATATATATATATACAATATAAATATATATATATATATATATATATATATAGGGCTGGTTTATTTTACAGACCATGTAGATCTAACAAACCTTATAAACCTTATTTAACCAATCATTTTTTTATTTATATGAAACAATTTCATCAAGAATATGAGGGTTGATTAATCAAAAATATATGACATAAGTTTCATAGAAATACATGTAACAATTTCATTATATTAAACATTTTCATAAAACAAATTTATTTAATTAAATAATAAGGGTTTATAGGTTTTATTAGATTTGATTGATTTGTAAAGTAATCTTGGCCATATATGTTGAAAATATTCAATAGATATCACCGTGCGGTGCCATTTTTCATTTGGAAGTAGCTGGAGATGCATGTTCTTGGTCTTCCATTTCCTTTTCAATTAGTTATTAAATTCCATGGTTACGTTACACCACGACGGCATACATTTCAATATAAAAATATATGTAAATAAGAACACTTCAATTTACAAAAACAAGAAAATGCTCCTGTAAGATATTATAGTTAATCACATGTGATATTTTATGGGGACGAAAGTTAAGCACGTCCCATGCCCATCATATGTGTATCATCCATTTGTCACATGACATCGTAAAATGATACCATTCTCGTTTGACCCCCCCCCCCC